CAGGAATAATCTGAAATGTAATTCAATCAAGGAGATCCCCAGAAGCTCAAATGAACACTTCTTTGTTCTCACTGTAAGGATGAAAAGGACTCCCACAGTGACCTACCATCACATGCAACTGAATACTCAGTGAACTCATCATTCACAGCTCTGAATTGATGAGTTCTAACATCTTGATTATCTCTGTTTCTCCTGGATATTTGCAACAGTTTTAATCCCTTTAGTACTTACAGGACTTGGCTGATATACAGTAAGAACCTGTATATAAACTAATCATGCCCTGCTAGATATCTCACTGTAATTTGGAAAGAAGATGTTACAAAAACATCCTCAGCTTCCTTAACAGGAATACAAAATAGTTATGGGGAAGGAGGGGAACAAAAAAAAAAAAAAAAAAAGGGGAAAAAAATTCCTCTGGTAATGAAATGACAGGATATGACTGCTTGGCATCTCAGCCACAGAAACCAGACAATTGTTAGTCATGACCATTTCTTTTACAGCTCAAGACATTTCCCTCACGGAATAAGTGAACTAGTATTTCAAAACTACCTCCGAGTGCAGCCACACGTAGCCATCTCCTCGAGGTCACACACACAGCAACCCCAGTTTCCATTGCAGATGTTCCAAAATACTGAAAAATCAAGCCAGAATGTCCAGTTTCCCTGATTTAGTGTCCAACATTTGCTAAACTTTCCAGGAAACTGATAGTTATACAAGCTGTGCCAATGTGATTCTGCACAAAGCATTTTCAATTGCACTTTGGAAAGAACTCTGTGCTGAAGCAACAAAGAACAAAAAACCATTCCAGGTCTGTAACCAATAATGCAGCAAAAATACAGAGCAACTAATTGTATTAAAGAAAGACTTTGCCTCCTTCTCTCTGCTTATCAGTAATCTTATTTACATACTTACAAATCATTTAGGAGTATTTTGATAGTAAGAAAACATCTGTCTCTGTCCACGGATAACAGAAGAACAAATTCTAAACATTTTTCAGGATATTCCTGTCGTTCTGGACATCCAATGCACAGAAATTAATCATACTTTTTAAAAGATAAATCAGAAAATGACACTCAAATCTGATGGAAAATGAGAGATCCTGTCTCATCCCACTAGATGGAGCTCCGAACTAGAAATCTGGTCAAACGGTTCACTAATCCCAGTGACACAGGACAACCATTTGCAGAAGTTCGTTTTGCTCTTTCCTAACGCACAAGCAGAAAAATTAATGGCTTTGCATATTAAGAGACCACCACAAGCAGTAGGCACAAAGAGAATCAACCAGCTCTGTAAAATGTGCAATCACTTCTTTTGAAATAAGGCAGATGAGAAATAACTTCCGTTTTAAACCCAATTTCCTGGCTTTGGGGCTTCAGCTTAATTCTTGCTAGTTGGGTTAGGTGCAGTAGCAGAAAATCTAGATGATTTTTAAACTCATTTTTGCTGAGATCTGTATGTCACCACACTATGTGCTCCACAGGGCATGGATGGTCTGCAAAATATAATACCACTTCAACAGGAAGATGAAACATGAATCAACATCAGCAAGATGAACTTGCAGTGCAAATATACTACAAACCACTTCTGCAAGATCATTTTACTTTGCATCTTTCAGGCTAGAGATTGTTGCAGAATGTCAGTACTTGGCACCATATCTTGGCAGATTTTCAGACACGTGATTTACCACAGTGACAGCACAGGGCAATTGCTCACGAGGTGTTCCATCATGCCAAGCATCAGTACACTGCAAGGTACACTGCATAATTAATTAATGTTATACACTGTGCAAATTTATAGCGATCCAGGTGAGTAAGGGCAGGCACTGGCACTTGGATATACAGAGGCTACTCAAATCAGGATAAACTGGCTGAAACAGAACTGAAATACAGGTGGAAGGAGAAGGAGCACTGTCAAGGATCCAGGTCTCAAGGATTTATTGCTGGAATTTCTTTAAAAATCATAAACTATCAGCAACCCAGTTGAAGAGTTTTACTGAGAAGTTTCCAAAAGAATCATAGAATCAACTGGGTCAGAAAAGACCTCAAAGATCATCGAGTCCAACCCTACCATGGTTACTAGACCATGGCACTAAGTGCCACATCCAGTCTCAGCTTGAAAACCTCCAGGGATGGCGAATCCACCACCTCCCTGGGCAGCACATTCCAATGTCTGAGCACTCTCTCCGTAAAAAGTCTCTTCCTAATATCCAACCTAAACCTCCCCTGGCAGAGCTTGAGTCTGTGCCCTCTTGTCCTGCTGCTGGTTGCCTGGGAGAAGAGACCAACCCCCCCCTGACTCCAGCCTCCTGTCAGGGAGTTGTAGAGGGTGAAGAAGAGCATGTTTAGGAATGACAGTCACCAAAACTTGTCTATAGCCCTTGGATTTATTGTCCGAGATACATAATATTTCAACAGAGGAAAGCAAAGGCTGCATAGCCAATTGTTTATCCAATGAGTAATTACACTGTAATTAAATGCAATTGATTGTTCTCCTTCACAGTAAGACAATCCCATTCACCAACCCAAGCTTCAAGGGCATCCATAATCTTTATCCATGTATAAAGATTAGTGACCATGTTAGAGGAATACCTAATATCCTAGAGTCAAAACCAGGTCCCACCATACACACACCAGCACTCCAGATTGTGAATAAAACAGCCTGTTTCAAAGAGCTTAAGGCCAGATCTACAATGGCTCCAGACATCCTAATATCTGAACAAGAATGGTATAGGATCTGTCACACACATTATGACAGTTTCTATAGAGGGCAAACCGATTTCAGGCATTGGCGAAGCTGTAATTGAAACAATAAGGGAAATGCAGCAACATCTGGAAGACATAGCCAGTCTGACAAATTCACCCCAGCCTTGCTGAGAAGAACAGATGCACAAGAGTGTAAATACAAACACGTACTGAAAAATAAGTCATTTGGTTTATGATGATTAAAAGGAGACCACCAGGACATTCTTCCAGGCAGATGTGCTATTCAAAGGAAAACACTCCATTAGGGGAAGTAAAATGATTCACTCACAAGAAATACTGTTGAATTCTTTTAATAACACTAGGAAAATATCATAGTATTAAAGTCCTGCACGGGATCCTCGAAAGGTTATTTTGGTTGGGATTTCCTTGTGTTTATAAACCAAACTTTGTTTCCCAATTGTGTTTTCTTTTAAGTCAACTACTCCTTTACATTGGTATTTCCAGTTAAAACACAGCTAACCTATAAATACCTGAATGCCACAACACACATTGTGTGTGTGGGTTTTGTTTAAGTCTTAGCGGAAATAACAGTAAATCTACTCAACACTGGGAAGCAAACGTCGATCTGTTAAGCAGGGAATGTAATAGCCAGTAAAGAATACATTGCATACATAATACAGAAGGAAAAAAATTATCATCTGGAGTATGTGAAATTACACTGATTTTGCACCTTTAACCTATTAGAAGTTACTCTGTTGGCCAATACTAATCCACTGAACAAGCAGAATGTTGGTCAGAAGTCTAACAGTTCCTGTACCAGCACAGAGAGAATATAGGCAGTCCATTGCTGTTAAAAGGGAACATGAAATCCAGCTCATGTTTCTGGTTAGGGATCGATTTCTTCAGGAACTACTGTTAACATCACATCTTCGTTGCCCCTGCGTACGACCATGTGCAACGTACTGTCCTTTTTAATGATGTCACTGACATCACTGGCTGAACTTATCGACTGTCCATTGATGCTTATAATCACGTCGTTGTCCTTCAGGCCACCACTGAAAATACAAAGCAGCAGTGTATTATTATAATTGCCATTTTATCATCTTTATAATATTGTTTATTTTTAAAAACTGCTGGATTTTCCCCCACCCCATGTCAGCTGTGCAGGCACAGCAGGCATGTGGAAAGCAGTCAGAATTTATGAAGCAGTGAAGGTCACAATACAGCCGAGAAACCTCGGAATTTGATGGGTGCAAGGGTTTGATGAATCCCATATTTCACTATCTTCAAAGGAATTCACTGTTACAAATAGCAGTAAATCTGCAATAAGGGTCCGAGACGCTGATGTGGTAGAAAAGAGAGAGGCATGCTTTTCTTCTAAAATAATTGCAACAAGGCACTCATTTTAGAGGGCAAATTTCCCAAGCTTTTATTCCTGAATACATAGCAAAGCAACCTGAGTGGCAGGATATTGCCACTCAGGTTGCCCAGGGAGGCTGTGGCTGCCCCAACCCTGGCAGCATTCAAAGCCAAGTTGGATAAGGTCTTGGGCAACCTGCTCGGGTGGGAGGTGTCCCTGCCCAGGGCAGGGGTTGGGACTAGATGATCTCTAAGGTCCATACCAACCCCTTAACATACTATGAAACTATGAGTTAACACATGAAGAATTACAGCCCCAGATCCATGCTGTTCTCCATGCATACCTGAGTGGCACCCACGGCACCTTACCTTCATGTTTTAAACCTGTGCAGAATAACACATGCAGCAATCTAGCTCAGCCACCAAAAAACATGTGTGTCCTTCCTCTGGCCTTCCTGCCTGCAGCCCAAAATCCCTTCTTCTGACCTCGAAAAATAAACCTTCCAGACTCAAAGCAAGACAAGGCAGAACCAGAGCAGGCACCACAAGGCTTCCCTGCTCGGGGCTGTGTCTCTCTCCCTGAGCTGGCTGAAACTGCTGCCAGGACCAAGAAATGGGTGGTGAGGGATGCCACAGACCACAACATCTTGCCCAGTCTTGCACAACGATCTGGCTCCAAGTTATGGAAATATTAACCAAGACAGATCAGACATGATTCAACCCTTCAGCATAATCCTTCACAAAACCACAGAGCAGTCATTGACCTCTTCCACCCACAGAAGATGTCTTACATGAGTGTCTCCTGCAAGCAGGATGCCATGGCCCATGTTTGCAACAAATCTGGTCACTACCGAAGGCATGGCTCAAAACATTTTCATGGAGGAAACCATTCCAGAGTACCCTGGTCTCTCATGCAGCTTCTCCATGTGACTCATACCCAGGACAGCTCACTGCAGAGCTGCTCTGATGCCCTACCAGCTCATCAACCCAACACGCGTTGGAGGTATCAGCAGTATAGGTAAACCCATTGGCAAGGGGACTGGGAGTTGGGGAGACATGGCTGCATTTTAGTTGCCAGGCCAGCCTTTGGATGAAGCACCCTGATTTGAGTTTGCCTTCACATTACGAGGCTATATTGCCTTACATTTCTTCTCCCTCTCTAATGTCCTTCTCTGACTCTCCGGTAACGATTATCCACAGTCCCATAATTTTTTTGTGCCTTCAGATTGGGCCTCCACACCAAGGCAGCAAGTTCTGCCCCACACTGGAGCAGCCACAACATTTCTACAGTCGTTGTAGTTTACTTTCACATTACAGTCATACACCAATGCTCGGCCCAAACAATGCTGCCAACAATTATCTACCCAGCTCAGCAACAATTCAGAGAGCTGTGTATCTTACAGTGGCATCCAAACTCCCACAAAACATGTCATCCAACCATCCTCTCAGTCTTCCTAAGAGGTGAGGTATCTCCTCCAAGCTGCTTTCTGCCTACATGCCTTTGGTGCCACATAAACCTTTTGGTTGCCACAAAGATTTTTCTCTTAAATGATTGCTAGTTTCAGAAAATGCATGAGGTTTCCCATTTCCTACCATGGATTACTGAGCAGCTTCGTATTTAACAAATCTTGAAAGGGAAGTGTCTTCAGCAGGCAGCCAGAGCAGTGCCAGTGACCACAGCCCAGCTGCCATACATAGAATCACAGACTCAGCTGGGTTAGAAAAGACCTCCAAGATCATCAAGTCCAACCCGACCATGGTTACTAGACCATGGCACTAAGTGCCACATCCAGTCTCATCCTGAAATTCTCCAGGGATGGTGAATCCACCACCTCCCTGGGCAGCACATTCCAATGCCTGATCACTGTCTCTGTAAAAAATATCTTCCTAAGATCCAACCTAACCCTCCCCTGGCAGAGCTTGAGTCTGTGCCCTCTTGTCCTGCTGCTGGTTGCCTGGGAGAAGAGACCAACCCCCACCTGACTCCAACCTCCTGTCAGGGAGTTGCAGAGGGTGATAAGGTCTCCCCTGAGCCTCCTCTTCTCCAGGCTGAACACCCCCAGCTCCCTCAGCCTCTGCTCATGGCACTTGTGCTCCAGTCCCTTCACCAGCCTCGTTGCTCTTCTCTGGACCCACATCTCATGAAGCATGGTGGTACCAACCAGCCAGTCAGTTTCTGAGCATCTACTGTGTAATACGAAGAAAAAGATCTGTTGTCCAAACCAAAAAGCTCTTCCCAGTAATGTGACTCCTGACAAAGCTCTCACATGAAAGAGTATCTCCTGCCAAGAGAGGGTTTCGCCCCGATGGAGTCATTCTAGGAGAGCTGGTGGGTTTGGCCAACATTGAGGTGCTTGGATGAAAGTGGACACATCTTCCTAAAGTGGACCCAAAGCTTCTTCCCTGCTGTCCTGCCAGAGGACAGCAGGGCTGTGGGGAGTATGCATGAGCAAAAGTATTTATTCAGCACTGGCAGTGGTACAACAGGAGACTTGGAAGCAACTGCTGAGAAAAATGGAAATAAAGTTTTCACACCCCCTGATTCCTTGCCCTTTCGACTGGGAACGCTGACAGGGCTTCGCTGCAATACCCTGATACACTCACAATAAATATTGCCCATTGGGGACCTGACTAAAACCACAAACCCATTTCCAGCAGACAACCTAATAGCTATCAGATGGCTGTAACTTTGTTAATTTAGCATTACGAAGAAAGCCAGTTAAGCAGGGAACAGTCTCTATCATTACCCCCTTAAGTCAGTGGCAGTGGTTTTGAGAAAAAAGTACTTCAACCTACGCTTCAGCTGGTGTTTCTGGAATTACTTCAATAACATAGGCCCCAGAGACAACATCAGGGAAGTCTTTATGGCGATCCTTCAGCTCTCTAGCTTTGCTGGAAAATGAAGAAACAGCAACAAAAGTATTTTGACAAGATGGGAAAAAAAAATCATGCATTTTTACTGAAGTCACTTAAGATCCGCTAGCTGAGGTGGTTTACATACATTCATGTGTCACTTCACCATTCATTTTAACCCTTAAAAATGTATTTCAAGAATTATTAAACTTTTTGCATGCATACAGCTTTTTAATGCCTGTTTCTGGTACTGGCCATCACTTCAATAGATACAGAGGACGAGAATTAAAAGAGTTCCAGACTTGATCATTACTTTAGAATCTAGCAGGTCCTGAACACCTAAAATAAAAATAAACCCTTTGTGTTTTAATGCTTTGTTCTACCTGTGGATCCTGCACAAGGGAAAACTTTTGGATGTTTTTACAAGACATACTATCAACTGTTCATGTGTCGTTTATAGATTTAGTAGGAATAAGCAAGTCCACACAAAAGCTTCATTTTTCATTAAGTGAATTGTTTAATGAAAATTATTCTATAGAAATGGAAATGTAGCTGCTGCAATGCTGGAAAACATACAACAGTGAGAGAAGCCCGGGACAAATTCACAATCACTAGCTATTCTCTTCCGAAGCATTAAGGAGGAGAAAAGGCCAGGAGTTGTTTTAAGAACTAGCTCATACAAGAGTCTACAGGAGAGCTCGACCATGTAGTAGATGCAGAGAAGAAGGTAGCAAGAATTGGCTGCGAGTTGTCACCAGCACAAACCTCCCGGTCGCTTCTCCAGATCATGAGCTTGATCCAAATGCATGCAGAGACCACACTTCTGAAAGGTGAGGAAACACCACTTTTACTTACCTGGGAGTTAGAGACATCATTCGTATGCCAATGTATTTCTTTTTGGTTACAGCTTTTCCTACAAAAAGGAAAACAGGTCTTGATCAACTGCTCCTACCAAAAGAGCCTCGAAGGCTGTGGACTTTCTGGCTTATTACTGTTTTTGTAGAATGGTTTGGTTAGAAGAGACCTTTAAGGTCATCTAGTCCCAACTCCCTGCCACGGGCAGGGATGACACCCACTAGACCACGTTATTTTAATGCTTTCCTCTTTCAAAGCAGTGAAGCACAGTACCTTTAGCTTGTCTGTCATGGGATTCAGTTAGGAACTTTTTTATTTTATCTGATGGGATAGCAAATGAGATGCCTGCTGTAACTTTTAATGTGTTGATTCCAATGACTTCACCATCCTAGAGAAATAAGAAATCACTATTAGCAAATGTCAAATACCTCTAGGAGAAACGGATAATTTCTTCCAAGCAAGAGCAAAGAGAAATTCACACAACACACTCTGTAGCTGGTTTTCAATATTCTAAGTGCTTTCTTCAAGTCTAATTTTTTGAGTCTATTGATAAAACACTATTCACAGATTTTGGACAACTGATGTGGATATTCATCTTGTTGCTAGCAGAAGAGAGGTCAGAATTGGGCAGCACATTCTGCAGCTGATATGGGTCTGTTTACTTCAGCAGCCACCTCATAAAGCACTGACTGCTTCCAAGCCAATATTGCATAATAATATAAAGAAAAACAACAGTTCACTGGAATCAAAAGCTTTTCCTGGTAATGCAACTGCAAGAGTTTGAGCTGAAACATCTCCGCTGTCACCTGATGATTCAAACACTTGTGAGCGCTCAGCAGTTTCCTTCCCTGATCCATCCCAGATAGAAACAATCTACCTATAATTTTTTGAAATGGAGGTTACTGGGGCTGAAACTGTACTGTGAACTGGGTGAATAAAACATTGCCAAATCTCGTCCGAGGTGGAGTAGCTCTGACTTCCAAGTTTGTGCCATGCCACAGCTGCTGCAAGGGCAAATCTGACTACATTCTACAATACTGACAAGCAAACCCTAACATCCTGAAAAATATGCTTTTCAGCCTCCTCGGTGTGGTTCAAAGTAAAGGGGCAGATACACTTTAGAACCATGGAGCTGAATCTCAGTGTGCAAAAACCAGAATTGCCAGCTGCATGGTACACAGGCAAGGGCAAATGCCTCCCTTTACAATGTGCCTTTTACTTCTTGCAAGGCATGAGCAAATAAACATTACACTTGCTTGAAACTATCCAAACCATAAACATCTTAAATATTGAAATCCAAATGTGTCCTTTTGCCAGCATAAACACAGACAACTGACTAGTAAGAACCATGTGAATTTTGAGGAGTGAGCCAGATATCAAAAACTGTGAATCACATATCTGGTGGGGAGTTTTGCTTTTTCACTGGTTAGGGTGGGGTATTTTGTTTTGTTTTTAAACTGAAAAAGCAATAAGCTTGACACGAAGTAATCTTAGAGAAACTCTTACCAGATTTACTAAGGGTCCTCCAGAGTTCCCATACTGAAAATAAACAGAAGTCAAGAACATGGTTTAATGTTTATGTCTTAATTTGTGGTAAGCAAAACATAAAAGAAATGTTTGAAATATTTCTGCTGCACTGTTTCCACTGTCTATTAAATAAGTGCAATAGAACAGTCTTAGCAGCCAAACCCATTAGCTACACTTAGCATAACCCATTCTAGCTGAGCTCTGCAAACTTTTAGCTCCTTCTTCTCTTGCCAGAGTAGGTTAAGAAAGCCAAGGTTTTTCTTTTGTTTTAACAGTGCCACACTAGCAACTTAGAAGATTTTTAGGACAGCTCTGGGAGCTGTTAGTGAAGATTTCTTACAAGGCCAACAGCTGAAGCACAAAAACTATTGTTTGGCCTTAACACAGAAACCAACTTGAATCCTTAAACAAAGCTTGGCTTCTTTTTCAGAAAACAAGACGGATTCAAAAAGGCACTTCTTTGCCAGAGAATATTGCCTCCTCCCTTGTAATCTGCAAGAATTTTGAAGTGAAGGCAGATACTGCGCTCGGTGTGGCTCCTTGGGGGATTTTTTAACAACAAGCTAGTGCTGCTGCAGCACAGATGTCCTTAGTTAGGTGGATGAAAGGAAAACTAGCCCCGCTCGCTGCTCTTAAGAACTGTGTCACGGGTGGAAATTTCAAAGCAACTATTCAAGCAATCTAATTGCTGAAGGGGCTGAAGCTCAGGGCAGGACATACGTTGATGATAGCATCTGTCTGGATATAGTCCATGTCGGAGTTGCGGAGCCCCAGCTCCTTCCCTCCACGCTGAGTGGTGCTAACGATGCCTGTGGTCACTGTGTTTTGAAGGGAAAATGGACTTCCAATCGCCACCACAAATTCTCCTGGCCTCAAGTCTGCAGACTGACCCAGCAGAAGAACTGGCAATTTACCCTAGAAATAAAAATCAAACCAAAAAAATAAGAAGAAAAGCTCAATGTTAAGACACAAGTGGCAGAACAAACACTGTGGAAACATGAATACATTCATAGAGGGAAGGAGAGAGGCTTTTAGCCCTCAGGGATTTTACTTCTTCTGTTTTCTTTGAGTATTTCGTGGGGGTTGGTACAGAAACATCCCAATGAGCTTCTGCACTGCAGATTGAACTCTTTAGATTGTAGGATTACTTCTCCCACAACAGGTACCCATTATACCCAAAACAACTAAAAGAGCAAAGGAATATTTATGCTCAGCTGTACAAAGCAAACATCTGATGATACTAGGAATGAGTTGTTTCCAACACTTCTTGGAATAATTAGCCAACAGCTGCTGAAGTCAAAATACGATATTGTTTGAGAGTGAACACTAAAGAGCCATGAAAGCAACAGCCGAAGAGTGTCAAACATGCATATGTACAGTTAAAAGCATTCTATATTCTCACAAGGCACAAGCTAATGTTTCATCTTACTTTTTCTAATGGATCATCTCTTCTAAATAATTATATTGCCTCCTACATACACTGATGTCTTCCCTTGAAGATGTTAGGATTTCAAGACTGTGATTTTTTTCTGTTAGAACAGTAGGGGATAATATTATATTTTCCTTTCAAGATCTTATCTCTAAACATATTAAGCATCATGTTGTTGCAGACATTCCCACTAACACATTCCTCAAGTCCAGCAGCAATCACTGCATTTTACAGCACTTAAAAAAAAGATATGGAGGGAAAGTTGGATCCACACCCCTTGGTGTTCTGCAACAGATCATACTTCAAATAAATACTTAGCCTTGATTTATCACTTGCCTGTGCAATACACATCGAGCACTATTTTTCTCCCCTTTCTTCACAATTTTAGAAGTCTTTATCCTTTCAGTGGTGTGACACATTTTTAAATCTGTTTTCTCTGTTGTCCAAATCATCCTGACCCTCCCCAGGTATTTTGACTACACATTTAATCATGTCATTAGACTATTTCAACTAGCATCAATGTACCTGGACATGTATAAATTCAGGGTTTGACCTAAGGATTTGGAGGATTAGGTTACTAAACCCAAAAAAACAAAACAGAAGTCTGAAGGGCTTTACCTTTTGTTGGCAAAGCTAACTTTAACTCAGCTTTCCTCCAAGCTTGTCCCACTTCAAAATTCTAAATTTTGGCAAAAAAGGAAAATATTACATGTTAAATTGGCAATTCAGAGCCATCTCTTTAGGGCCCTTTTGTTACAAGCACTTTGAAAGCCTGTACCAGTAAGTCGTCCTTAGGGACAAAAATCCACTAATATAAACTAACCCAAGTGCCCATTACTCTGTTTTTCACCCACAGTTTTATTTCAGATACCTAATGAGACAGACAATGTCTATGAAGTAGAAAGTAAAAGATAATGGCATCAGTCATCACTATATGCTGCTGTAAATACAGAAGTTATGGTTTTAATCCTTAACAAGACTGGTCTTGTGAATCCTTTATCCACTTTTGACACAATTCCACCAGTGAAATTTTACTCAGATGAGCAGATTGTTTCAATAAAACTCATTGCCAAACCCCGGACAGGGTAAGATGCTTAATGGAAACTTATCTTTCAGTCTCCAGACAGCAAGAAAATAATTAGCCAACTGCTTGTTAAACAGAATCAGTTGGAAGAGCAACATAATAGACAACACAGAGAGGAGAAAAACATTTCTAATTATCTTTCAGAGGAAAGTTTTCAGTGCCACACACAGACCCAACCACGGCTGTGGCTTAATTCTGGGAAGGACCTAACAGCACTATCCACCTTCCCCATCGAGTTTGCAGCACAGAAGACAAGAAGCAACATCCCAAGGCAACACTGCTGAGTAGTCCACAATCCCAGCCTACAGCCCTGACTCCAAGGGATCTCTGCAGCACATGCAGCTATGATTAGCTGTGCTGGGAAGCATGCAGTATATGCAGCACAAACAGCCCCATATGGGTACTGTTTGGATACAGGGAGCACCCTAGCTCTTCCTTCTCTCACCAGATGCTATTAAGCTTACGTAGCACATGTTTTCAAGATGTCATTGGTCAAGAAGAGCATCTTTTTTTTTTTGGCACTGCTTTTCCTTATTTCAAAAACAATATGAAAAACACACAAGAGAAAATGTGGCTTTTATTTGTATCCCAGTGCACTGAAAATGGATACTTTATAGAGAAAGAGGACATTTATCAGCAAATGAACCAGACAAGCAAAAGAAAACAGAACACTTTTTATTTTTCATTAATAGAAAAAAGACTGGCTGTGTACAATGTTCCTGAGTTGTAACAACAGTCACAAAGCCAAAATTGCATTTGGCAGCAGAAAGCAAATACAGGAACCATCTCTGACTAATACAATCACTTCTGATTGCGCTGAGTTTTCAAGCCTGTGCCTATACTAGTTAGACTTCTGGTCAAACTCTAACGCTGCATGGATTGGCTGTGGGTCATCCCTGTGATTCAACACTTCTTCTGGAAAGTCTGGCTAACCTTTCCTTTACTAGAAACATAAATCTGTTGCAAAAATTGTCTTGTTCTGCACAGCTTTGGAAATCCTGTTCTCTATTCCTTGTGTTCATGGTGTGGTGCAGAGCACACGAACTGCACTGCATGTAAATACTCTCATTAGTGCCTCTACAAGTAAATGCCATGAAGAAATGGTTATGATGAATATGAGTTGAAGTGGCTTTAAATTTGGGAGTTTCTCTCTAAAATAGCCACATTCAAACCCAAGTTTTCCATTATCAACCCCCACACCCTCCAAGTGGTTTTGAAGTGAAACCAGTATAAAACCTATCAAGACCTCTGGACATTAAGGGATGGAATGGGAAAAACCTCCACAAGAGGAGCAGTGGAAATGCCAGGCAAGCCCTCATGGCAGTGTTGTAACCAGGTTTGTGAGAGAACAGCCTGTCTGTGCTCTCACACCCTTCCAAATGGCAAGCTCAGCCCTGGGATGCTAAGGAATCCTTGCAAACCAAGTTTGCATGTTTGGGTCCAGGGCCCTTAATGACTGTAGTTAATAAATAGACATTCCTCAATTTTTACATCATGTCTGAAGGTCGTCAGGATGACATCACTAGTGCTACAACTCCTGATTCTCTTTAGTTAACTATAGGTTGGCCACAGCAGTTGATTAAAGGCCCAGGTAAACGAGCATGCCCTGCAGCACAACCAACAGGGAGTCAAGAACACCCAGCACCTAAACCCAACTCTCCCAGTGACTCACTGCACGACCTCGGGCAACATGTAACGTTTTTTCTATCCTTCATGTTTCATTTGATGAAGCCTCAGGGCTCTGCTGGGCTCTGTGTTTACTCAATAAAACAAATCTGCAAGGAGGCATCCTGCAAGCATGCAGAAATACGACCAAACATGCAAAACCCTAAGTGGCACATGACTCACTGTTTACACCCAGCCAGAGAAGGAGCCATTAATTAGTGTTAATATTCTAAGCCTTTTGCATCCCAAAGGCCTTCAGACATTTTAATACATGGATTTGACTCAAACCCTGGATAAACATAACTCCCATGAAATGAAGAGCTGCGCACCACCACAAGAAACAGCTCCATCCAACAATAAGGTGCAGCTATTGTGGCATGAGGGATCAGGATGAGGAGGGAGCATCAGCACCAGCCAGGAGTCAGGGAGAATCATACAACTATGGAATCATTAAGGTTGGAAAAGACCTCTAAGATGATCAAGTCCAAATGTTAATCCATCACTGCCAAGTCCACCACTAAACCATGTCCCCAAGTGCCACATCTACACATCTTTTACATCCCTCCAAGGATGGTGACTCCGACACTGCCCTGGGCAGCTGTGCCAGGGCTTTCCATGAAGAAATTTTTCCTGCTATGCAATCTTAACCTCCCCTTACATAACTTAAGGCTGTTTCCTCTTGTCCTGTCACTTGTTACCTAGGCAGAGAGACCAACTCCCACCTGGCTACAGCCTCCTTTCAGGTAGTTGTAGAGAGTAAGAAGGTGCTCCATGAGTCTCCTTATCTCCAGGCTGAGTTCCCCCAGTCATTCCTCATCAGACTTGTGCTCCAGACCCTCCCCCAGCTCCGTTGCTCTCTGGACGTGCTCCAGTACCTCAAAGTCTTTCCTGTCATGAGGGTCCCAAAACTGAACACAGGATTTGAGGTGCCTCATCAGTGCCAAGTACAGATGTTCACCTGATTAGCAATGTATCTTGAGTCAGACAAATTAAGCGGAGCCTGAAAAAACAGCTCTGAAACTAAAAGAGGAGGAGGCAGCACATCACCACCACCAGGCACAGCCACTGCCATAGAGAAATGGAAACCAAGAGACAGCCAGCCATGGGCAGTAGGTGTTTTGGTTCGAGCTTTTTCATCCATGAAAGAAGTGAATCTGTCTTTATGTTGGCACAGAAAGCAAGTAAATCCCTCCTCTGTTCTGTAATCCCCTTGGTTTGTGGATGGAAGATCAGGAATTTGCAGGAAGCAGTTTGCAGTTCAATAAACGGATGAAGAGGAGACAAATGCTCTGAGTTCAATTTGTGTTTAAATAGTGACAGATTTCCTTCATGCTTTTTATTTTTAGGTGGGAAAGGAACAAATGCTGCTGTGGCACACTAATTCAGCTGTAAGTAACTGGCAAAACTTGGAACTTCTCTGGGAATTGCATTTCTGTTCTCATTAACAAAACTATTTAACTTTCAGAACACTTTATGGCAAAACAAAAACACAGGCCATGAGCATATTAAAATAGAGTATCATCTACAATCTAGAAACTGCTTGACAAAATGCCAAAGAAAACGAGGAACCCAAGCTGAATGCATTACAAGCCTCCACAAGTATTTCATCTATAGTTAGAAAAGCAAAACTGAGTCTCCTTATCTAAATATGGAGCATGGGAAGCTTGCAGGGAAAAAAAAATTAAGGATGAAGTTTTGTTTTGATATGTCACTGGGATTTCAATTGTTTGGTAAGAGATTGCTGTTCTTCCTTAAAAATAAAATTTAAAAATTCAATTAAAGATATTAAAATAAAATAATAATTTAAGTAAATAATAATAATAATAATAAAAGAAATCCTGGTGTTGTCACACCCACCCTGGAGATCTGTGAGCATCTTACTGCCTGGGGAGCTGGACCAGCACACCATCCCCACAACAAGGGCTGCTAGAACCCAGAGATAGCAGGAAACCACTACTGCCTAAACTGATGAATAAACAGGAGTTGACATCCAAGATTTTTACAAGCCATTTCATTTCTATAGGTCCTGAAGACTTCTGGAAGCAATATGTGACCTTCCTCAGGCTCTTGAGAGGAGGCAACATCATATCCAGTGACAGATTTTCAAAGTAAAGTAGTGTTTTAGAAAAGCCACTTATACCTGGTGTGCAAGTAGTTTGGGTTTTTTTCAAAATGTGGCCTATTATATTATTGATAGATAAACAGGAAAGTTTGCTTTCCTGCTTCCTCCAGCTTGTACACCCAGGGGAAAAGAGCAAATCCTTTCTGACCACAAAGATACAGAAGCTCTTTGCCTCATGAAACCACCAAAGGAAGGAGGGCAGAAAGTTTTGTTGATTTAAAAGTGCCAAACTAAGTGCTTATTAGTAAGATGCAGAAAAAACCTTAAGCTGAAGGTTTCAGCTGAAGGGCTGAAATGCCACTGCAAATTAGAGGTGGGTCACAAACCCACTGCTGCTGTACCACAGAGATGCTAAACCCTAGCAGGGATAAAGAGGCAGGAGCTGGCCACATTGAGGTCTTCAGGACCTGGAATGTCTTCCATGACATAGCTGTGTTTCAGAGTCGGTGGCAAGTGTCTCATGGCTGGGTTTTAAGCATGTAGGAAGAAGAAACAGCTCAAAATAAAGCCATTCACCATGCTCCTCCCATCAGTGCTCACTGCCAAATCATAGGCACCACCACAGAGATCACTGCTGCAGGCAGACTCCAATTTCCAGGGGTGAAGGAGGTCTCCAGGCAAAAGTCACTTCCGCCTTGCACTACTTTTGGCTTCCACTTTCCATTTGTGTAGGGGCACAGGGATCTTTTATAATTCTCCATTAACTCTGACATTGTTCATTAAACCACGGTGAAATTTCCTCCTTCCTCCTGGTGTTTAGTTTTCAGCAGCTGTATCACACATTCTGACTTAACAAGGTAGTTATTTGTCTTGAGAGGAATTTCATAATCCAGCTCTGCCAGCTCCAAAGCATCTGTTTGCTTTGGAGTGTTGTGCAATAGTTTTGATGGGTTTCACACTTGCTGCAGCATCACACGTGCCGAGCAGGACAGATTATTTATTTCACCAGTCTCTGCCTATGCTGCCAAACCCCAAATTTTTCTAGGGAATTTTTATACATTTTGCATGCTCATATCCAAATTGTCTGCAACTGCACTGCTTCTTTCTAGTCCTGTGGTCTCTTCATTGCATTTGGAGGCAGAGCTAGAGTGGATTAATTTTTACCACATTGACTCCAATCTTGCTTCCTACTTTCAACACTTCAGCAAACTGCTCTGTGCCACAACAGGCATGAGAAACACACTTGCTCTTTTATAGACTGCAAAAACAAGCACATTTTAGGACTAGAACAACCACTCCAAGGTTTCTGTTCCTCATTGACTGCAATATGTTTTCCCATGGAGAAGAATTTAATCAGGGTAATGGTTCATCCTTTACTGGTGCCCAGATTTTACCACCCTCTTTCATTTCCTATTGCACTCAGCAAAGCCAAATTAGTTCTACTAATGTCTTTGGCCAGATGTTCACACCTTAAAGGAAAACATCACACAGGCAGCTGCAAAATCTGAAGAGCTTTAGGAATACCAGCTGACAGCCTGATCCCATACTTCCAGCTCAGCTCTGTTCCTAACCACAGAGGGATTCTTCATCCTTCAGATCTTCCTTAACATGCCACAAAAAAAAACAGAAGAAAAAAACCCTTCTGCATCTTTGATGTCACCTTCAAATAATGTATTCAAAATTAAGAACTTAGACTTCAGAAAAATTCTTAGGGATGATTTTCATACCATATCCAGATTTTTAAAGGCTCATTTGTACCATCTTGTTGACGCCTTTAACCACCAAATCCATTTCAACTTCAACAAATGATTCCCCCTGCGATTTTAAAAAGCCTTTCATGAATCTGAATGATGCCAGACCCAAGTTTATATCCATATTCTACCTGATTTGGAGCACAGATGTGAAATCTGATCTCCTGCTGCCCAGATGTCTGTGCTGAGCTGACACTGCATGAGGAACACAGTGGAGGCCTCAAGAGCTCAGCCTCAAGGCATGGAGATGCTTCCCCAAAGGTTCAAAGCCAAGCCTTTTCCTCACAGACAACTGAATATTCATGGACCAAAACACCTCTTCCACTCCCAAACAGAAAAATGTCACTGATTTGGCTCTAGATAGCTCCAGAAAAAGTTTTCTGCCTTGAAGAATTGGCACATATTAATCAGGTTGCAATGCTGATGTGCCATTTGCAAAAGAATGTCACAACTGTGCTCAAAAATCAAACCGATGGATGAAGATAGTGACTATCATTTAATTAAAGAACTGAAATTTTTAAAACAGAAGAGCATCTGCCATCTTTCAAGTCATAATGAGAATTGCCAGTTCCAGTCCTGTCCAGCAGTGGTTTCTATCTGGCTGCATTCTCCTTTTTCCAAGCTGCTTCCAGGTTTCCGTGTTCTGTCTGGAAGACTGGAGCTTACAGGGAAGCAGCTTACCAGGGAAATTTTGGAGTCATTTCCTTAGGCTATCAAATAACATTTAACTCCATGTTTGCTCTCTTCCTAAGTCCTCAAAACGATCCATCACATCAGCTCCATGTCTCCTCTCAGACTCACCACCTCTCTTCTCACCTCACCTTCCCATTTCTCCAAGTCCTCTCCTCAACACCATTTTCTTTTCCCACCATTTTAAAGCCCTTTTCCAGCTGCCCTTCATTCCCTGCCATATCCTACTCAGCCTTTCCCTTTGCTTTGTTACTGCTTTTGCTTATTTTCAGTTAAAAATGAGAAAATAAGTGATCAGTTAGGTTACCTCAGGAAATAAAGGAGGAAAAACCAACATGCCAAAAAACATTATTGCTATTGTGAAGCTTTTCTGCCATGTTGCTGTTAAGAAGATTTTACATAAGAAAATGATAAAGGAGGCAAGGGAGCAGCAGGAGCACTTCATATCTCAGGTCATCCAAGAGTTCTGCTCTAGACGTCTGATTTAGTCATGAACTCTGGCACAAACACTTTTGACCTCGCTGGGGAATAGGTCTGAACTAAAACAACATTGCAAGATCTACACATTTTTGAGTCATGTGTTTCAAATGAAACATTCTTGCCATTAAATTTGAAGGTCATTAACTGACAGGACCAAACCAGGGAAACCAACAGGAGCAACACCCCAAGAAATCACATGCATCTAATTGCATCTACATCACGCAGTATTTTGACACAATATTCTGCTTGCACTACATGTGCAGAACCTCACCACAGCTTTTCTGCTGTGGCAGGAGGCAGAATAATGCTGACAGACAGACATTTGATATGGAGAAAGACTGTGGATGGGAAGACTCATTCCCATTTGTTCAGTAAACTGAGTGCAGTGTAAGAGCCTCTTTCCAACCTGGATTTAATTTTCATGTTCAAGATGCTTCCCAAGATATCTTCCATTTTAGTATCTACATCAGTGTGGTGCTGCTATTCAAAGGGCCAAACACATCCTCTAAAAGCAATTTGTGACTTCAGCATAGGCACTCATGGAAAACTAATACATCCCTCTACCAACCACAGGGGAGCACCCGAATTTCTTCTCTGAGGTAGAGTTATATTAGATAATGTGTGTGCAAACCAGTCAGCAAACTATGATGCTGTGTTTTACTGCCATGTAATTCTTGCACTACACTGAGGTGACAAAATTAACCACTACCACCACAAACTTGGCTTTTAAAAATATGCATCCACTTAGCTCCAATATTCTCTATAACCCAGCCCAGGAAACTACAAGCCTTTCCTTCAACCGTGAAAATCAAGAGCAGTTTATGGAAAGGAGGATACAAAATTAGAGGAATAAAATGTGCCTTGCTTGAACAACTCACCTGAGTATCTATTTTAATTAGTGCAATGTCTGATTTTTCGTCAACATCTTTAATTTTAGCTTCATATGTTTCCCCATTCTTCAGCTCCACCTTCACCCGGTTTTTGTTGGTGACCACATGGGCGTTTGTCACTATCAGTCCATCTTCTGAGACAATGAACCCTGAACCACTGGCAACAGGAATCTCCCTCTTTGAATAAGGAAGTCTAAAAGACAAAGGAAATAAAACATTTATCCCATTTAACACACAGCCAAAAGGAGTCTGGTGGGTTTTAATGCTTTGGGGTATCTGCTGTTACTTACTCTCATTTAGAAGATAAAGCACATGCACTAGTTTAACTGCTTTTGTTTTGCCAGGACTCTTAAATTATCTTTAATCCTTAAGCATGGCGAATATTTTATTATCTCAAAAACCTCTTTGCTATTACACAGCATCAATCAACATTTCTGGCACACTAGCAGCTGTTTTTAAGACTACAAAAAGGATGAAAACTGGGCATCTTGTTTACTTGCGAAACAATTCGATGTGAACCACAGCAGGAGCTATCTTCTCCACCACATCTGCAATAAAGTTGTATTTGTGCCTCAGGCTGTTAGGGTGTTCTTGTCCTGAAATAGAAACAGAGAACATGTCATGAGTTCCTCAAGTGACCCGAGGAGGGTCATTGCAAAACACCTGAATTAAAAAAAGCTCCGAGTGGATATCTTTCCCTTCCTCAAAAGTCATCTGCAGCATGACCCTTAGCCCCAGATTTCCCTGCTGCCTCTTTGCACAGGCAGCATGCTTTTTCCTCAGGACAAATGGTGCATGAAACCTCCTAGTTGGAGTCACTGGGCCATGGGGCAGCAGATCCATGGCTGCAGTCACAGCGCCATGGCGCCCAGGGACAAGGCACCAGAGGAGCACAGGGTTTAGTCCATGTCTGCACTGCCCACTCTTCCTTTGTGAGAGGGATTTTGTACTCAGATGCCTCCACTTCTTCTCTCGCCTCTTTTCTGGATGGTCTATTTAGCTTGCATGGTCTTCTCAGATGGAACAAACGAGCTCTGTTCCTTTGCCAAATTACGCCTTCTTGGAGGTTTTTGAAGTTTCATACTGCTGCATTTGTAAAATGCCAAGGACACCGAGGTCCTGACCCCAGTGCAAGGCCTCAGCAGCTGCTGTGAACGTTTAACTTTGGTACAAGGTTTGGACTTCTTTTCTTACCAGTGTCTGCACACAGCCTGAACCACCGGCCTCAGCCTGGCACCTACACATGGGTGCACCTTACATACACTCCACACAACCACAGTCAATGCATCCTTTCTACTGATACCACCTGTGGTCCCTCTGCTCCACAGAAAAGTGGATCCCACATGCTTTGGAGTTACTGGGCCACCCCCAAGGCTGTAAAATTGATAGGACAACACAGGAGGACAATGGGATCACAAAGCTCTGCATTCCTCGGCAGTGCCGTAACAAAACTCATGGTCACTGGGTATTCAAGAGGGGTCAGTGGGATTTTCAAAAGCAACTGGATACCAAATTCCCATTGTGGCCAACAGAAAACCTGTCTGCACCATCAGACACCTAAAAAGCTCTGGGAAAAGCTCACAAGTCTGACACAGCTTCACCTTCTCAAGTAGTTCAGGGGCAAAACTTTGTTTTCAAAACTTGGAGCAACTAAGCAATTTGGAACACCCCAAAGAGTGGCTTTGTATTTCCTTAAAGGCAAGAAATACCTTTGTTTTCATTTCAGTTTTATCTGTGCACCCATCTCACGTTACATAGCCACGAGCCAAACCTGTAACTGACTCTCAGATGAGTATTAATGTGCTGTGCTGCTCCCATCCATCCTTGCCATTTGGCTTCTAAATCCATCCAGAGATTAAAGCAGTAAGCAGCTTGTGGATGCTCTAAGTGCCTTTGATGGTGTAACAGGACAATTTATTTGCAGAATTGTAGGAGACACAGGACTAGCCTACAAAATCATCCCAGTACCAAAACCCTGAATGCCCTTCATCATTGGAATAAATCAGAGTGGAAAACTATGCAAACTTTTAAGCCCATACTGGAGGCAATAATGATTTGGGAAGAAAATATCACTGCTTTTAATACTAACCAGACCCTGGTTTGATTCAGGGGCCAACAACATCTTTCAGGAGACTTCCCAGTGCCAATCAGCATACACTGCCCTCGTGAGACAAGTGGATGCTCAACCCAACCACTACCTGTTCACTCAAGAACACGTGAATCATCTCAATGGCTTTTCAATGCAGTCATGAGCAGCAGCACCAGTATTAACCACACTATCTGCTGTTCAGAGATGTTTATCTGCTTTATGAAGCAGGAACATTGATCAGGAAACTTGTGTCCTCACCTGCCATTTTCCTCAAGAGTTTTTGGTACTTTCTCTGCTTTACACATAAGCTGTTGCCCTTGGACTTTTACCCCAGAGAGGCATAAGTGCTTGTTAATTGGCAAACACCAATTTACCAAAGGATTTATATTCTCTGTTAGAAATATTCAGTATCAAACAAGTCATGTCATCACTACAGAACTGACAACTGTAATGGGAAGGTTCTGGAAAACTGCTAGAATGAGAACTGCAGTTTGGAATTATTCACTGGCATTAAATAGGTGCTTTGATGGGATTAACATGATGTTGGGATGAAACCCCACAGGGCACTACAGTACCCATCAATATGCTTTTTGATTACTGCTTATAAAATGACTTCATCTAAGCTACAATGCTGCAGCCATCCAAAGGTCACATCCTGCCCTTGGAAAAAAAGAGAGCTCCACGGATGAAGGAACTGCACAGGAAACACACAGCTTTTTTTTTTTTTTATGCCTTCAATCTTTTCTGCATTTAGCTATTCAAGAAGAGAAAGGATGCCCAGGCTGTACATGGTGGGACTACTAATACTTCACCTTAGAGTTGCCTTCACTTGGATTTGGAGGCTACAAACACCAGGATTTCAGGGACAACGGGACTTTGTGCATAATCCAGCTCCTCATGCAGTCTCAAAACTCAAGTGCAGAGTGAAAGAAGGTCAACATTTCTAACTTTGAAAAAGTTAGATAATAAATACTGAATCATGGCATACTGACCTAAAAAACTCACAGCAGCTTGCCACGCCTGCCTATTGCTTATGCATTAGGAATTCCTGCATTGTGTAACTCAGTTTTGCAACAGCTCTTGAACAACTGCCCATTTAAATGGAAAACATACCTTTTGAAAGCAAATAAACAGCAGACAAAGTACTGTTCAGCTGAATTCATTGATGAACGTGAACCAAAAAAATTGCTGTCTACTGGTTTTTACCACCAAGTGCAACATAAAACCTGAAGGCTGTAGTAAGAGTATTAGTATGATGCAAATGTCTTCTATCGCTGAGAAAAAGTATAATGGGGGAAAAAATAAGACCAAAATGGGCACATGTGAATGCATATTATCTGCCTGATACATACTTAATGCTCAGAGTAGCTAATTGCTTTTGGGATCACTGAGCCACACACGTGGGAGCCTCGAGGTGCACTTTTCTTTCCTGCAAGCAACCACCGCTGCGTAAAATTTTAGATTGGAATCTAGGCACAAGCTACTACATGGAAGCCCAAACTGCGATAAAGACACCAATAGCACAAACCTAATATGAGCAGAGGCCTCATCCACCACACAAGAGTTTCCAGCCATTACAGCCACTGTAGAGGACAGTGGGGAAAGTGAGAACTTCTCTGGAGACACTTTCCTCTTCTCTCTAACACAAGTATTTTCCAGCTGTGTCAACTGTTCAGGGTCTTAGCAGAAAACAGCTTTAAGAGTGGAATGGGCATAATGCAACATCCTCCAAGTTTTCAGGTTCAAAGACTCTGCAGAGGTTTGCTGGACTGGGCTTCACTATTAAGCAACAACAAAAGCAAATGCTTTACCCTGTGATTGATGATGTGGTTTTGACTATTTAGTTCCTGTGTATTCTCATATTCATATCAAACCACAACATCCATCTTGGCTAACAGGTACCCCACAAGGTGGTGGCCAACCAAATTCCATGCTTAAATTGATCCCAAAAAATGTAGTTTTCTCAGTTTGAAACTGTTTCTTTGGCATAATCACTGTTAAATTCATGAAAATATAGTTTAAATTTTTTTGCCTTTTTCTTTAAAGTACACACTTCTGGAATTTTGTTCTTAGTAGAATATTTCCATTTTTTTTTTTTGGTTTTCTGTCTGGGGCTGGAGTTTTTTATAGTTTAGTAGTTGTTTAGGTTTTTTTTTCTGGGCTTGAGTTTGTTTTGGTTTAAATCATTGAGAGGTGGCTTGAATAAAGCTCTAGTTCCTAAATACCTTCAGGCTTTGACGTTCAGATCTCCGCAGACTGTTCCTCTTTCTATTTATACGCTGTGATTATTGTGTTTTGTAACATTTTTATTGAACTATTGCACAATGCCCTAAATGCCCACGAGCTATGGCTAAGAAACCTTTATTAATGGCATTATAAAGATGATTGTTGTGACTTCAGTTAATGATCAAAAACTGACTTAAAATAGGTTACAGCATGAAGAATTCCCAAGGCAACTAATTCATCAAGGACTTCAAAGGTGTGCTGGCTGTCAGCCTTGGAGTGAAAAGGCAAATCTCTGCCAACTGACAGTGAAAGGATTAATACCAGTAAACAAACTGCAAGGAGGGCAAAACAGAGTACCAAGCCATGAAAAAAGAAAAAAAACATACCTAGGTGTAAACAACAGAAATAATTTGGTTTCACAAAGAGGAGCCAAAAAAAATATTAAGATCCAAGTTCTGATTAGGTCATTACTCAAAGTAGCATCCATGCATTGATGCTTACAACTCACATATGCTATGCTGCTTTTGGTAATATTTTGAGCTAAACTGAAAGGATGCTTTGGAGATAGAAATCTCAGTAAAGTAAACTCTCCCCTTCAGTTGAGAAAGATGTATCAGCTGCTGTGGAAGGTCTTCTCCACTTAGGTCCACCTCTCCCAAGAGCATATCATCACACAAAGCTTTAGGCCCACCTCAGTCAGAAATGGATCTTTTCTCCATCTAGCCTTCACATATTTTCCCTCTTTAAAACAAGAGGGTTCTGCTCTCCTTCACCAGGGACAGCTCAGCTTGCTGTTCATTCTTCGCTTTCCAGCTGCATTCAAAGCAGTCAGTGAGGCGTTCCCATGTCTCCTTCCCACTGCCTGAAGTTAGAACCAACACAATTATCCCATTTAATGGGACTTCTTAATCTTAGATAGTGTGAGGGGAAGAAAAGTCACGTGGCAACAAACACCAGCAAGTCTCTCCCTGCCACCCTCATTTGCTGTGAGTACACCAGATAACCTCATGTCCTAACTCCAAAAGCTCAGATTCAGCCTGCAATTGAGACTTTTGACTTCCAAAACAGCCACAAACTTTCATTCCCATTCAGGTTTTTTTTAAAAAACAACTTCCCATGAAACAGTAATAACCCAAGGCAGCTGCAAGTGTCAGTATTTGTGATTTTATACCTGTTAAAGAGGATGCAAATTGCAGAGAGGGTGGAGCACCATCTCCAGGTTCATCCTTGAAGATGACTCATATTTTTTGAAAACTTTGAAAAATGCAATGCCTCAGGAGC